ATATGTGTGAGTGGTGGTAAAAGTGTAGGAGAGATTGCTTGGAGGAGGTGTGAGGGGATTGGGTCTAGAGAGCATGTTGTAGGATGGCTGGAGAGGAGAAGTTTCTATACTTCTGCCTCAGTGAGGGGACAGAAGGAGAAGATGGGAGTTTTAGCAGTGGGTGTGGTTGGTTTAAAGGAACACTCCACTATTTTTGAAAATAGGCTCATTTTCCAACTCCCCTAGAGTTAAACAGTTGAGTTTTACCGTTTTCGAATCCATTCGGCCGATCTCCGGGTCTGGCGGTAGCACTTTTAGCTTAGCTTAGCATAGATCATTGAATCTGATTAGACCGTTAGCATCTCGCTCAAAAATGGCCAAATAGTTTCTATATTTTTCCTATTTAAAACTTGACTCTTCTGTAGTTACATTGTGTACTAAGACCGACGGAAAATGAAAAGTTGCGATTTTCTAGGCTGATATGGCTAGGAACTATACTCTCATTCCGGCGTAATAATCAAGGAACTTTGCTGCCGTGCCATGGGTGCAGCAGGCGCAATGTTATTATGCAGCGCCGGAAAATAGTCCCCAGCTAGGTAACTTCCAATAAGCCTATTTTCAGGCACTGCGTAATATCATGTGTGTGTGTGTGAGAGCCGCCCAGCAGCGATTAAATCTTCAAAACCACTTTGAGATCAGTTCATCAATATAAACTCACAACTGATTTATACAGAAAATGTATGAAATGACTAGTCGGTGGGAGGGAAACATGCACATTTATGATTCATGCAGTAATAGAATCCCACCTGGAGAAGCTGAAGCGTCACATATAGATCATTCTGACTGGATCTGATCTGATGAGCTGATGATGTGATGATGATGTTCTCAGGAGCGTCTGACGGCAAAAACACACACACTGAAGAACGGAGAGCGACACACACACGGGAAACAGCAGCAGGTGCAAACACACACAACCAGACACCATCAGAAACAGAACAAATTTAGCTCATAAAAACATTTCAAAACAACGTTTTTAAGACACTGAAAATCCAGTTTTCTTGATAGATTCAAACGTTATTAAAAGGTGGCAAAAACGTTTCTTACAGCACAAAATATTACCCAAACTATAACATTATTTGAAATTTTTCTCTCAACTTTATGAGAACGTTCAAGTACAAATAATATCATAAGGATGTTTAGAGAGTGTTAATCGCTCAACATTAAGAGAACATATATCAAATTTTAATAAAGTTATAAGAACGTTCCATAAATGTTACTTTAAGTATGTTTTGTCCTAACATTTATATAGTTATAAATATGTTAGTGGACGTTGTGAGAACGTTCCCTGTTAGCTCACATTGGACCGACACGCAGCTCAACGCTCCTCATCTTGTGTTTGCAGAGAGGAATCATGTTTGAGATCAAGCTGAGCGATGAAGAGACGAAGACTGAGGAAGACGAGGAGTCAGAGGTGAAGTGACGCTCATACACACTCATGATGCACACTATCAGACGAGAGCGTCATCTGAGTGTGTGTGTGTGTGTGTGTGTGTGCGCGTGTGCGTGTGCGTGTGTGAGAGTGTGTGTGTGTGTGTGTGTGTGTGAGTGAATGTGTGTGAGGTGTGAGAGTGTGTGTGTGTTTGTCTCTCTGTGCGTATGTGTGTTTGTCTCTCTGTTTG